GCATACCTGTAGTCCCAGCTACTCAGGAGGCTGAGGCAGTAGGATCGCTTAAGCCCAAGAGTTTGAGGTTGCTGTGAGCTAGGCTAATGCCACGGCACTCACTCTAGCGAGGGCAACAGAGTGAAACTCTGTCTCAAAAAAAAAAAAGAAGCTAAAGGGTTGATCCCAATTCTGGCCAATACCTTTTATACAGAGCAAAATTCCCTGTACGCTTCAAACCACCCTCATAAATAAATGCATCAGTCACAGAAGCAAGTGGGCAAGAGGTACAACCCAGGTCTATGAGTCGGCCTTCATGCAGAAAGGCTGTGCCAGTGGGTTTTGAACGTGTATTTTTTAGTTAGAAAAACGTAAGCAGAAGCCCATCAAACAGCAGTGCTGCACCCTCTCCCTGCTCCCACCACGTAGGGGGGTCCGCCCATCCACCTTGGCCTTCCCAACAGCACATAAGGAACTCCCAGGGCTCCTAGGGCTCAGGGAACACAATCTGAAAACTACCGTTGTAGTATCGAAAAAAAGGAACTATAATAACAAAGGATTAGGTTAATTGAAAATGTTTTTAAAATTTTAAAGGGCTAAAATGCTAACAGGTATAATTAGTATAGCAGAACTGTTTTTGGAAAAAATAAATGAAATGTTTCCTCAAAATTACCTTAATCCTTATTTCTTTCTCAGTAGTCTTCCTCTGCTTATCTGCCTCTTTCCTTTTACATCTTTCTTCTTCTCTTCTTTTCCTTTTTTCTTCTTCCCGCAAGCGTTTCTTCTCTAACTCCCTCCTCCTCCGCTCTTCTCGCTTCTCTTCTCGAATTCTCTAGGGACGGGGAAAAGCACGTGTATGAACTGCCTGGGGGACACGGCAGAGGCAGGAAGAGTGTTCATCAGGAAAAAGGCCAGACATACCTGCTTTTCTAATTTTCTATTTTTAATATATTCCAAAAGAGGTGTGGTTCTTCTAGCTAAAACACAAAAATGGTAATGTAGTATTTAACTCCTAAAATAAGATTTCTTTTCTTTAAGTACTTGTTTTCAATTTAATCTTTAAAATAATTAGGGAAAAAATATTATTATTTTTTAAATTTACACGAGCAACACTGTATCCAGGGAAGTTTTTATTTCACTACTATGAAGTTAAGTAATTTGAGGGTACCAGCAATTTTACACATAGTAGACATGTCATTCCTGATTCTTCAGGGAGTCTTAAAATATTACTTACAAAGACTGTATAAAAGTAAAATGAGTACAATGCAGTCAACTCCCCAAATGTTACGAGTATCTCCTCTTCACAGTTTTGCAGATACCTCACTTAAATCATTGAATAACATATTTATATGTTCACTTTGATTCAATACATATTCTGAGCATTTTTTCCTTTTCTACTTTCCAGACAATGGTTTTTAGCAACTTGGATTCCTGTAATTTCTTATAATATACACTCCATAAAAATCAGGGTGACACAAAAACTCCAGACTATGGTTTGGAAAGTGGCCCTGCATGGCACTGTTGGTCCTGCTCATCAAAAAGAAACCACCACCAAGCAATCAACACTTCCACAGACTTTGACTTGACCCTCACCTTCCGTGCCCTGATCTCAGATCTGACCTGGACGCTGGGTGCCCCATAAGCCGCAGGCCCGACGGTGCTGCCTCTGAAGGACCCAGGACGACAGACAGGGGGACAAGGTGGGAAGGTGGAAGCTGGTTTGTTTCTATTCTGCAGGTCTTTAAGAACTCAGATCAATGGGGCTGGGAAGAATCTCTGGATGTGCCTGAAAACTGACAAGACATGTCTGGAATGCTGAGGGTTAGGAACTAGTCAGGAATTACAGGAGAGCCCTTGGCCAGGGACCCCTACCCTGGAACTTTAAGGACCTCTGACAACTTGTGTCAAACAGCCCCTGCTAAAGGAGCTCTGCCCCAGGCAGGTGGCTGTGGGGAAGGTGCCCACGTCTCATGGCAGGTATGGTGCCCGTGGAGAACTCGCTCTCCCCCAGGTGGCTCCTGTGTTGACCATGAACTCTGGCTCAGGGTGAGTAAAGCTGACTGGCTGAAGTAAAAGGTCGGCCTTTAGGAATGGGCAAATCATCTCAAATGAACCAGGGTTCCACTCCGCTCTGCGAAGGCCTGGACTTGTCAGCCAGGAAAAGTTCAAGACCACCTTGGATGACCTAGGGCCTGTGTGTGTGGGGAGGCTGACCCTAGACTCCACTGCCTTCCTTTCTCTCCTACAAAACATCTGCTCTGGCCGGGCACGGTGGCTCATGCCTATAATCCTAGCACTCTCGGAGGCCGAGGCAGGAGGATCGCTTGAGCTCTAGAGTCTGAGACCAGCCTGAGCAAGAGTGAGACTCCATCTCTACTAAAAATAGAAAAATTACCTGGGTGTGGTAGCGCCTATAGTCCCAGGTACGTGGGAGGCTGAGGCAGGAGGATTGCTTGAGTCCCAGTATTGGAGGCTGCAGTGAGCTGCGATCATGCCACTGCACTCTACCCAGGGCTAAAGAGTGAGACTCTGCCTCAAAAAAAA